TGCTGCTCCCGGGCTTCCTCCTGGGACCGCCGCGCGGCCTGCACCTCCTCCTCCAGCGCCCCCAGCTTCTTGTGCAGCTCCTGGCCCTGCAGCTCCAGGACAGACTTCTCAGCCTAGGGCAGAGGAGGGAGTGGGCACGGCGGGAGTGGAACCCAGGCCAGAAAGGGAGCAAGGGACAGAGGCAGGCCCGAGGACCAGGAGAGAAAGCTGTGGAGGAGGCAGAGGGCTGGATGGGGCAGCAGGGAGCCAGAGGCCGAGGTAAATGGGCAAGGAGCGGGGAGAGGTATCATGGCTGGTGCCGGGCTGTGGAGGGGAGGGCAAGGGGCACAAGGCATGATGTGACAGACGGGGCTGGGGTGGCCCGGAGAGCGGTTGGACTACTGGCTGGCTGTGGAGAAGGGGGCTGGAGACCAAGAAACATGGGCACAGACGTGGGGGCTGGAGGCAGGTAGAAGGGGAAGCGGAAGTGGGCAGGGGTCGGAAGGACAGCTGCCTGGGAACTGAGGCAGGGGAAAGGGGCAGGAAACAATACCAAAGGGGCAGGGGACAGTGGTAAGTGGGCAGGGATCGGGTGGGGAACGGGCACCCAGCCACCACCCACCTGCAGGCGACTACTGCACTCCTGCGCCTGCTGGCTCTGCAGCAGCAGCTCCTGGGCGCGCCCCTGCAGGCTTCCCAGCTGCCCCTCTAGGAGCTGCAGCTGCCCCTGCAGAGCCGTCTTCTCAGCCACCAGCGTTGCATTCTGCTCGGCACAGAGGGGAGTTAGTGGCCAGGCCACTGCCCGCCTCAGCCCCCGAGCCAACCACCGTCCACCACTCACACTGCGCTCCACCTCGATGAGCCGCCCGCTCTGGGCCTCCGGGGTCTTCGGCTCAGCACGCTCCTTGGGCTCCAGCGCCACAGGGCCCTGGCGCAGCTGCAAGGAGAGGCCCCGGGAGGTCACGCAGGGGAGTGGCAGGGCATGGTGATGGCACAGGGACCTGAACAGTGGACCCTGGCCCACAGCCCCGCACTCCTGGCTCCCGCAGCTCCATCACTCTTATCCTGCCCTTGTCACCTTCTCTCGGTGCTACAGCTCGTGCCTGGCCCCTGCTGCTCCTCCTGCAGGTCCTACTCTTCCTCTGGGCCCCAGTTTCAACATCACTTTCTCCAGGAAGCCTCCCCTGACCATCCCCACACGTGCCAGCGAGGCAGTCTGCTGGGTGCCCACTGGCCCCTGGCACCACCTGGATAGTCACCTGTTTTCCTGCCTCTGTGCCAGGTGAACTGTGAGCTCCCTTGCACACGGCAGCCTGACATTGGGCTCCACCACACCCCAGTGCTGAGCGCTGAGCCCACACACTGCAGGGGCGTCAGAAATAACGACTGACTTAGGACAATGACGGCAGCAATTGAGCTCACTAGGCAGTAGCGGGGAGGCGGGGAGCCAAACAGGAAAGACACAGCAGTCACCTCGGAACAAAGCCACCGGTGCTGCCCATTTGAGGAACGACGAGGCCCCAGAGGACCACCGGCCGTGGCAGAGTCAGCCTGACTCTCAGCACAGTGCTCCTTCCAACAGGCCCCCAAAGGAGTCACAAGGGAGCAACTGGCCAAGAACCGAGGGGCAAGACCAGAGGGGCCTCGGGAGGGACAGGAGCCCCTGCGCCCGGCACATCTGCCTGCAGGACGGAGGGAGGGGTGGGCGAGGCCCCAGCTCCCAGGGCGAAGCCTCACCTGGAACAGCTCCTCTTCCAGCTGCAGGGCCCTCGCCTTGAGCTTCATCAGCGCCTCCTCCTTGCTGGTGGCCGCAGCCTGCAGCTCAGTTTTCATCCGCTGCTCCAGGCCCTCGTACCTGCAAGGAGAAGCCTTGGCCTCTACCCCTCCTCAAGCCTCTGCCCGGCGCTCTCTGCCCCCCAGGCAACGCCCCCACCTCTGTTGTTGAAACTCTTTTTCCCGAAGAAATTCCTGGCGCTCCAGAGTCGCCTGCTCCAGCTCCCGCTGCAGACGCTCCAGCCGGGCCCCCAGCTCCTGGCTCCGCGCCACAGCCTTCTCCAGCTCCTGAGGGCAGACAGAGCAGGCTCAGGGCCAGAAGGACATCCCACCACTGTCCCCAGGGAGGGACAGACACAGAGGCCTGGGAGTCAGGAGACCTGGCTTTCTGTCCTTGCTCTGTCACCCTAGACCAGTGATGGCGAACCTTTTGAGCTCGGCGTGTCAGCATTTTGAAAAACCCTAACTGAACTCTGGTGCCGTGTCACATATAGAAATTTTTTGATATTTGCAACCATAGTAAAACAAAGACTTATATTTTTGATATTTGTTTTATATATTTAAATGCCATTTAACAAAGAAAAATCAACCAAAAAAATGAGTTCGCATGTCACCTCTGACACGCATGTCATAGGTTCGCCATCACTGCCCTAGACAAACAGCTTTAACCTTTGGGCCTCTACTCCCAGATCTGTAAAATGGGAGCAAAGCCTGGTCGCTGGGCAGCGCGGGTATGAGAGAACGGGGGATTGTAAGCTGGCAGGGCCTGAGGGAGGCTCCTGGGCCGCGAGTCTTCACCTCTCTGAGCTCTTGCTTCCTGTTGTGCCCAGTAACAGGTGGACGTGCCCTGAATGCTGAGGCCATCCTAGCCATGAAGGAAAGAGGGGCTCAGCGGAAGCCGGTCTGGAGAGAGCCCTCAGCCACAGGGGACGGCCACAGAAGACAGGAACTTGGTGAACACCAGGCCTAACCACAGTGGGGCTGGGAGGGGGAGGACAGAGATGCTAGGGCCCAGGGCTCTGGCAGTTGGGCCACACCATTGCAGAATGGGGCAGGAGGCCCAGTTTGAGCTGTGGGCCCAGAGGGGAGGTAGACCAAACCATTCCGAGGTGTGGGGGCCCCGGCAGGATAAAACCACAGGGAAAGGCCAACTCCGACCAAGCAGCCTGACAAATCCTGCCTCTGAAAACCAAGCCTACAGCCTTTGCTCTGATCTTCCTGGCTTAGCAAGCCCCCACCCCTCAGATCTCCCCTCAGAAGCAATGCACTTCCAGACACCTTTGCCTACTGCCTCTCACTGGAAAAACTACAAGTCCCATGATGCCCTGCTGCTGACAGCCAAGGGCTGCAGGTAAGAATGCAGGTACAACGAAGAAGAACTGAACCTCTGCCCAGAGTCCTGCTCTGCCCTCGTCCAGGCCCTGGCCACAGCCCTCCGTACCCTCTCCATTGCACCTCCTGCCCTCCACCCAGTCCAGGAGGCCCACTTGGACCACCCCCTCGGCTCCTGGTTCTCTGACCTGGTTCCCTGGTTCCCTGGTTCCCTGGTTCCCTGGCTGGTCACCTCTTCCTGCGCCACAGTCACTTGTCACCAGGAAGTGCTCTGACCAAGAAATCTCACAACATTCCCCACGTTGTCCTCAGCCTCTGCCACCCACTCAGTCCTCAGAGCTGGCCCTTCCAGCCAGCCCGCCCTACCCGCACCCTCACTGCCCACCTGCTGGCATTCCCTCTCCACCGCTGCCCCGAGCGAGCGAGCTCTCCACAGTCATTACCTTACAGCATCCTGTGGGGCAGGTCGTTTTTATTCCGGTTTCACAGAGATTCAGAGAGGTTCAGTAAGTTGCCAAAAGCCACAGAGCTGATAAGTAGGGGATTCGGGCCATAACCCAGGTCTGCCTGACAGCACCTCAAGTCATATCCTTCAGAGTGGGCCCCAGAGACAGCCTCTCAGATGTACTCTCTTACCCACACCCCCAATTTGCACATTCCCCAGGCCCCTCCTGCATAATGCCCAACAGCGGGGGTCAACCCAACGGTGTGTTGTACCCCACTTCTCTCCACTGGGAGGAGTCTCAGATCCGATGACTCCTCCTTTCTGAACCTCAGTACAATAGGGATGCTCAGGCAGAAGATTCGATTCCTGTCTGTGGCACTCCCTCCCCCAGCACTGGCCGCCGACCCCAACACCCCTCGCATTCATTGCCTCATGTCTCCTCCGAGTCCTCTGAGGGGCCTTTCCACACGGCCCTGACCACTCCTATCCAGGGCCCCATTGCCCTCATTTAAACGGCTGCAACTCCTTCGCGTGGAAGGAAGATGAAGCCCTGCCCAGTAGGAACCCGGCTAAGTGAGTTCTCACCTCCTTCCCCTGCCCTCCTCGGGTTCCACCCTACAAACTCCTCCTTGCTCACTGCCATCCTCTCCCTCCTCCAGGAGGCCTTCCCTCATGGGTGTGCTTCCTGAGCCAACACGGCTCCCTGCACAGGCCCGGCTCCACCCCAGATCGGGCGCGCTTCCCCGAGTCCGGGCATGCTGGCGGCCTGGTACAGAGCCTGGCCACCAGGAGACACCCGCAAACATGCTTGAATGAATGAATAAAGGGGTTTCCAGGCCTCCTCTCTCCCCCATTTCCCGTCCAGGTCCAGCCAGCCTCACCTGCACCTCAAGTCATATCCTTCAGAGTGGGCCCCAGGGCCCCAGGACCACAGGCACTGCCTCCCAGTGGCTCCAGGCCCCTGCACACCAAGGTGACCCTCCTCAAACCCAGTCTCCCGCAGGTCTGCCACCCCCCCCCCCCCCCGGGGGGCTCTCCCTGCCTGGGGATGGAGCACTAACACCTAAACGCTGGCCCAGCACACCTCTCCAGCTCCCAGCCCCCTACTCCTCCTGGGCCCCTGAACATCTTTAATGCCTTCAAGTCTTTGCATAGGCTGTTCCTTGGGATGAAATGTCCTTCCCCATCTGGTGGAATCTTGACCTTCCTCAGAACTCTCCCCAAAGCCTCTTGCCCAACCCCGGCATCAGCTCCCTCTCCCGCAGGCCCCCGCAGGCCCCTGCTCTTATAGCCAACCTGTCGACCAGCGTGAACGAGGCTCTCCCACCACTCTCTCCTTTGGTCTCCCACAAGACCTGCCAGGCAGCCATGAAGAGTACCCCCTTTACAGAAGGAGGCACTGGGTGCAGGTGAGTGACTGCTGAGGTCAGAGAGCCAGGATTTAGACCCAGGCACCCTGGCTCCCTGCCCACACTCTTATCCCCTCCAAAGCCGCCCCATTAGAGGTGGGGGGCACCTGCCCCTTTCCCAGACCCGGCATGCCTTTGGGAGGCAGAAACGGACTTCGTCTTTTTATCTCCAGTCCCAGCTCGATGCTAGGCTCAGTGGCCGATGATGGAATGAATCACCCAAAACTCCAGCCACTGGCCTGGAACCCCATTTTCTGCCCCGAATGAATATAAGGACCCACATACCTCCTTGAGGGCCTGCCTCTCCCGGCGCTCCCTCTCGGCCTCCTCCAGGTGCTGCTGGCTCTGGTTCTCCAGGGCTTGCAGCCGCTCCTCTGCGGCCTCGGCCCGGGCCCGCAGCCTGGGTCCCTCGCGCTCCCACTGCCTCCGCTCTCGGCCTGATGCCGCCAGTGCCTCGGCCAGCGCCTCCCGCTCCCGCGATGCAGCCTCCACCTCCTGTTGGGCTGCCTCCATTGCCTCCCGCAGCCGGGCCTGCTCCTGGACCTGGGCCTCTGCTTCCCCGTGGGCCTCGGCCTCTGCCCTCCGAGCCTGAGCCAGCTCCTCGGAGAGGCGAGCAGCCTCCGTGCCTCGGGCCTCCAGCCTCCGAGCCTGGACCTCCAGCTCAGCTCGGAGGGCCTCAGCCTCTCTCCTCAGCCGAGCCACCTCCTCTCTGAGGGCCTCCTGCTCTGGGTCACCACTGGTCAAGATCTCCCCTGGGACTGGTCCCTCCAAGGCCTGGGCCTCGGGAGCCATTTCCGGCTTCTGGGCTGGATCCCTGATCACCCCCTCCAGCCGCGGTGCCTGCTCTCTGGCCTCTGTGTGCTCCTTGGGTAGGTCCAGCCTCTGGCCAGGGCACTGCTGCTCCTCCAGCTGCACGTGGAGGCGGGGCTCTGTGGGTTCCGGCTGGCTCTCAGGGACTCTGGGCATGGACTCCCCAGTCTCTTCTCCCAACAACAGCTGGGCCTCAACTTGGATCTCTGGACCCTGAGGTGGGGCCACAGAGGCAGGGGTCTGGAGAGGGGCTCCGTGGCCAGCCTCCTTCAGGGACTCCTGTGTCCCTACAGAGGGGCCTGACTCTAAGGTCTGGGGGGCCATGGCAGCCATCTGAAGGGGCCTCTGCGTCACTTGAGGGTCTGAATCAGACGTCTGGGGACACTCAGCCGACCCCTTGGGGGCTGAGTCTGATGCTGGGGGAGCCAAGTCCAAGGCCTGAGGGTCTTCATCCCCCTCATGGCCAACCAAGCCCTGGGGACCATGGCCTGAGGCCGGGCAGGTCTGGGGAGCCACGGGCAGCGCTGGAACCATGGCGTCCTCACTCCGCTCCTCCAGCAGGGGGCGCTGAGGGCACAGGAGAGGGAGGGTCAAGCCCAGCGGTGCCACCAGGAAGGACCACAGTGGTTCTCAACCTTCCTCATGCCGCGACCCTTTAATACAGTTCCTTATGTTGTGGTGACCCCCAACCATAAAATTATTTTCATTGCTACTTCATAACTGTAATTTTGCTACTGTTATGAATCTAATGTAAATATCTGATATGCAGGATGTATTTTCATTGTTACAAATTGAACATAATTAAAGCATAGTGATTAATCACAAAAACAATATGTAATTATATATGTGTTTTTCGATGGTCTTAGGCGACCCCTGTGAAAGGGTCGTTCGACCCCCAAAGGGGTCTCGACCCACAGGTTGAGAACCGCTGACCTAGGAGGATGGTTGGGGAAGGGACTCGCTCACCTGGCCACCTGGCTGCCCTTGCAGCACCTGCAGCAGGGCTCGAAGCTCCCGATTCTCCCGCTCCAGGGTGCGCAGCTGCCCAGCCTCTGCCTCCCTCACTTCATCATGTATCGAGGGGGCCGCTCCTGGCAGGGGTGCTGGGGTGTGTGCGATGAGGTCAGGACCCCTCCCCACCCTTAGTCCTGCCACACTCCCACCTACACCCCCAGAGGCCTGGGGGAAGGGGGGGAAGTCAGGAGCCGTCCCCACCACAGCTGCAGGGACACTCGGGAGCCCCAGCCCCAGCCCCTCCACTGGGGCTCCACTCACGCTCCCCAGGTGAGCCCGGCGGCGGCTCCAGACTCCGCTGAAGCTCCAGCTCCAGCTCCACGTTCTCCTCCACCAGCTGGTCCACCTGATGCCGCAGAGAGTCCAGCTCCTGGGGGTGGGGCAGGGTCAGACACGCCCTCCCCACCAGGCCCAGGCCCCGTGTGTGGGCGAGAGGATCACTAAAGAACACTAGGAGAAGGGGTTCCTGGGGTCACTAGGGAACCCTGGGGGACCATTGGGGTCACTCTGGCAAGCTCACCGCGTGAGCCTCGCCCAGCCGGGTCCGCAGAAGCAGGTTCTCGCGCTGGGTCTCATGCAGCCGAGCACAGCGCTCTTGCGCGGCCTCCAGCTGCTCCTCCAGCAGGGCCTTCGAGGCCTCCAGGGTCCCAGAGAGCGCCCGCTCCTCCTGGGGTGAAGGGGGGACACAGGGCCAGTGGTTCCTGTGCCGGGGCACCCAGGGCCCCAGAGCCTGTCTCCCCTCCCCCGCCTGACCCCACATCTGCCCCTTCCAGGTACCACTTCCCTAGCACCTAGCCCCGCCCCTTCTCCCCAGAAACCGCCTTCCAAGGTCGCATCCTGCCGGGACCTGCTAATCAGCCCCCACTGCTAGGGACTCTCTCCAGACACCCCATCCCCTACACTTGGCCCCGCCCCCTCCCCAGGACCTACCCTTACCCACAACCCCCACTTTCCCCTCCATCTGCCCCATCACCCAGAGGGCCTTTACCCAGACACCACCTCACCCATTTCTCCCAGCCATGGCCGTAACCTTGGTAAGGCCTGAGTCTCCCTTTTCCACGCCCCAATGTGCTCCTCCTTACCCTCTCCCCTGCAGGCCCCGCCCCCGAAAGCCCCAGCCTCTCAGGTC